GTAATTTTGTTTCTGAAACAAATTTTCATAGCCTCATGTAAGTATGCTGTTGGATGCTTACAGCTCTTCCAAGGAAAACTTGATAGTATGCCCCAAATCGATTTCCAAATATAGCCATACCTAGATTATCACATAACAGCTTTTTGTGTACATGTGCAAAGTTGATTACAAAGCAGTAATGGAAAGAATTAAGTCAGCTAACCAGTTTGGGTGCTAAAAGTCTGCTAACATATTCTGACTCTATCTCTTGATGTGTTAGCTATTGTAGAATTTGGCTATAGGTAGAATTATTAGCTATAGGTAGAATTTGGTTTACTGCTTGCTCTCGGTTCACAACCTGCACTTCCTTCAGAAGTAGTTACTAGGTCAGACAGCACCTCAGAAAAGAAGGGGAGAATATTACAGAGCATGGTCAAGTAGGAAAGTTCCAGGACTGCAGGCTGTGCCACACAGAAGACAGAGTAAGCAAGTCACAGGAAGGAGTTTGGATTTTGCAGCTTCAATAGAAAAAGATCACCAGCTCCAGTCCTTATGTGATTTAACAAAAATTTCTCCCTCAAAGAACTCACAAATTTTCTGCAACACACAAGACACTGATTTAACTTAAATACATTCTGCAAATGGGCTGAGGAAGAGTTACTATGGCAATACAGGAAGTACCCATGAACTTGCCAGCTTGTTACGAACACAAGCTTCTTAAAATACATTCTCATCATTGCTGCTATTAAGCTCCTCTGGACTTCTAACTAGAAAAGCGAAAAACTTTAGTATAACTAGATTCCGACATAAGTATTTTAGCACTTACCTGCATGCAATAAAACAATACAAAATATATAGAAATAAACCCAAAAAAATCAATAAAACGCATTGTTTTCAAACAGCATGTCAGGATTTATACAAGCAACTTTAAGATAGTAGCTAGTTTGCTCCCAAAAGCAAAAAATGAAGACGCTCAATAACCACATCTATTCATAAAAGAACTTTCAGGTTTTCAAAGCACCATGAAGTAACTGGAGGCTAGAAGACAATACTTTACCCTTACTGAACGTTCATGTGGTTAACTTACATTTATACTTGATATTAACAAGATATATTACCTTGGCAATTTCAGGATAGTAGTTATCAAAACTACTTGATGAGCTTTCCATTTTGCTCTGTTCATCATCTGAAATTACAAAGCCAGATTAAACATATTTAAAAAAACCCCAAACAGTAATTTCTGATTTATTTTTATATTTTTTTAACTCCTGCCCCCTCAGAAACGACAGTTGTTAGCCCAAACAGGTTGTAGACCATGCCATTTTTTCATTTTGATGCAGTGACTTCTTGAAGGACATAATCAGTTACATAACCTGATAAAGTAGCAGTTATTCTAATCTTACTTAGAAAATAACTTTAAGACTAATGTTGATATCTACACAAGGAAATGGGATACTTCAATGCAAAAATTTACATTATTCTTTCCACTACGCATTGAAACTCAATTTCAAAACAAGTTCCCTCTGTTCATTAGATTCCCAGCTCTACTCTCCAACAGTTACTGGATTTACAAAGCAACCTTTCAGTTAGCTACAAGCATCTTACAGTTAATTGGAAACCACTGACTAAAATGTCTTTCACAGAGCTATGGGTTGCTTTTTTTTTTCTGATTTCCTTTGGTTGTAAACATCATGTTAAATTCCCGCAATCTTCACCATAAGCCTCATTTTAATCTCTAATGATTCCTTTCCGGTATATGGTGTTATTTATGTACAAAACAACCTTTTATAACTTCTTCCAGGTACTTCTGGATAGGCACATGCTTGGTCTCATACCAGCTGCCCGGCCCATCCACTCTCACAGAATCACAGACCGTCAGGGGTTGGAAGGGACCTCTAGAGATCATCTAGTCCAACCCCTCTGCCAGAGCAGGATCCCCTAGGGCAGCCACACAGGAACGCATCCAGGCAGGTTTTATATGTCTCCAGAGACCTCTGCCACAACCTCTGTGTGCAGCCTATTCCAGTGCTCTGTCATCCTCACAGTAAAGAAATTTTTCCTTATGGTTAGGTTGGACCTCCTGTCTTCCAGTTTGCGACCACTGTCCCTTGTCCTGTCACTGGACACCACTGAGAAGAGTCTGGTCCCATCCAATCTTCCTGACACTCGCCCTTTAAATATTCATAAGCACTGATGAGAACAAGAAATGCACAAGTGGTTATCAACCATACCTACATCACACTCCTTACAGATACTTGCCTCACCTACTCTTAAAGGGCTTGAGCAGAAAAGATTCTATACCCAAACAATCTATTTCAGTACTTCAGGGAAGTATTTGTGGATGAGGGAATTACATTTAAAATTAAGTCCCTCACTGCAATCACAATTTCTTATTCTTCTACCGACACTGACCACAGAACAGATTATTCCTTTTACAGCAACATTTTAAACATTTCAAAACATGTGCATCCTAAGTTTTCTCTTTTCCTTAAGCTGCCTTCATCCTGATTTTTCATTATTTCATTTTTTTTAGAGTTTGATCATTCTGATTTTTCTCTTCTGAACTTAACTCAACTGTAATCAATACAGCACAGTGCTATTTTAATGCCAAAAGGTCAAAGCTCTCATTATCTCAATCTGACAGTGAAGAGGTCTATAATTTTTAGGACCAAACAAAACAAAAAAAAAATTAGCCACAATAAAGTCTTTCTTTCCAAATGTACATATGTAGGCATCGTAACATAACTTTAGCAGCATTGCTAAAAATCCTGCTTACCTTCGTGAGACTCTCCATTTCTTTTTTCTTGCATTGCAGCCTCAAAGTTAAGCTGAAGGATTTTGTTCAGAGTGTTTATCCATTCTTCCATTTCCAGTTCGCTATCTGCAGCTAAAAGGTAACTACTCTTGTCCTGCATCTTGAGCTCAAATGCAAACCGTCTGACTTTATTATTCTAGGAGAAAACATAAAGATAATTTCTTTACATACTGCCTACTCACATACACATTTAAGATCTTCTAACACAAATTTAGTTTGGTATTTGATATTTTGAACAGGTGTATTACAATTACAATTTTTCCTCTCTGACGCTTGACCTTTTGAAGTTATTTCTACTGTCGCAATAAGTGGAAATACAAAAGATAGCAAGCCATGATTTTTCAGTTTCCCTTCATCATTCCACTTTTAGTCATTTTTAAAAAACAAAAAATCCAATTTCCAAATACCAAGTCTTCATGTACTCAGCGTGAGTTCTAGATGGTCTAAGATCTACTGATAAAAAGGCATGAAACTCTATTAATATTTGATTGAGAATCATTTGCACATCGGGATTTTATACTGGAGGTTAAATCATAACCAAGCTCAATTGTGAATGCCATGATGTTGCTAGTCTTTTAAATCTTCATCTAGTTGGGAATTGATTGCTCTTTTGTTCCGCAATCATAGTTGTCATCCTTTTACACCATTTAAATGAAGGCTTCAAATGCTACCTAGTTTGACTGATGTTGTGAGAATAAATTCACAAGTCTTAAATGAAAATTCCATATTTCATTAATTTAATTTTTTAATGATAATTCATTAGATAAATGTTAAAATAAACAGACTTAATTGGTGGGGAATTTTTTTGTTTAAGTAGATTACATGCCAAATTACATTTTAGTCTCACTATGCCTCAGATTTTTCAATTACAGACTGACTACTAGTAGGAAAAACAATCAGCTTTCTACCAAAGATGAGTTGCTGTTACAGAGGATACAAAACCAAATGCATGGACTCCAGACTTAAGGCAGTCTTCACAACTAAAATCAGTACTGAAAGTAAATGAAAAAAATCTTAAGAACAGTAACCTTTAACTTTCACAGCCTAAATCCTTGACACAGGTGGTACATATCACACTTCCCAGTTTTCACAAAACACTGAATTAGAGCAACTCTGCCTATATATATGACTGTATGTGTGAATATATACGCTGCATATATTATGTGATTGCACTTCTCTGACGCAGAGAAGTCTCAATATACTTTCGTATTAAAACAAAAGAACAACAAAAAATACCAAAATAGTATTTTGGGAATTTAGTATTTAGTCTTCCAGTATTTTTAATTCGGGGAGAGGGGAACCTGCACACATAAAAACTCCCTCAGACCCCCGCTAAACAAGAAAACGCCCCAACTCTGCCGCACACATTCAGCATTCCTCTTACGCAGGCACCGGCATGGGAGCACCACTGAGCAGAGCCTAGCTCCGTCCTTTTTTGCAGCCCCCTTCAGGTATTGATAGACATTGATGAGATCCCCCTGAGCCTTCTCTTCTCCAAGCTGAAGTTACAGCTCTCTCTACCTTTCCTCACAGGAGTCATACTCCATCCTTTTATCATCTCCTTAACCTTCTACTGGACTCTCTCCAGTATGTCAACGTCTCTCTTTTACTGGGGGGTCGAGAAGAGGACACACAACTCCCGATGCGGCCTCAGCAGCGCTCTCCAGCTGTTCAGAGGGGAAGGATCACCTCCCTCAACCTGCTGCCAGCACTCCCTCCAAAAAAATCCAGGACACCACTTGTCTTCTTGGCAGCCAGGACACATCATTGGCTCACGTTCAACTTTAGAGTCCACCGGGACACTCAGGTCCTTTTCTGCCAAGCTGTTCTCCAGCTGGGTGGCCTGTCCAGCACGTACCGGTGCCTGGGCTGGTTGTCCCCAGCTGCAGGACTTGCTGCTGCAGCGCCTTTCATTTGTACCTCCTGAAAATCTCAATGTTTTCTCAGGATGTAAGCTAATATTGTAGCACCCGCAAAAGTCTGTACCAGAGGCACAGGCCAAGAATCTGAAACAAGTCATCACCCAAGTGCGGAAAAAAAAAGCAGCCAGAAAACGCCCAGAAGACAGAGAATTTATACTATCAGAGAGAGGGGTGCCAGAGAAGCTGAGGCAGAGAAAGAAAGATATATTTTAAATGCCAGACACAGGTTTAGGAACCACTTTGTTGGTTTATTTTAAAGACACAAATCAAACTCATTTCAGTGAAGTTGGCCAGAATTGTACCCCTAAGGCAAAACAATTTGTGTAAATATGTATAAAGAACTTGCAATATGATTAAATTGATTAAAGTTTGATAATTGGCATGGAAGGTCTTACACTAAATGTGTATCCCAAAACATTATTACAGTATTTGGGAAAAAAAAAATCCTCTGCAAAGCTGTTGTATCTCTACGCATAAACCTTCAAACAACTTTACACTCAAAAAAATACTGTTTAAGAAACAGATTTTTATTAAACTTTGCCTATTCCTATCCAAGTTAACAAAAACCTAAGACCAAGAGCGTTTTCCAGGTATGCTGTGCCTAACAAAACAGTTACATGCTGTACTACAAATGCATAATAGAATCACAAGAAAAAAAAATAAATCTTTTCTTTGGCACTTGCTACTGACAAACATCTTACCAAAGCCCTTAACTTTTTAAAATAAAGAAAAGCACAGAAAAGTAACATTATAAAGGTCAAATGAAAGCATCTGGAAGGGTGACTAAATTCAATACAATTCCCACAACAAAAATCCCACACAAGAAGCCACGCAGAACATTTTACAGCTCATGTAAGCACAAAATGTAACTGAAGTGAACTTGAAACTTAAAGTGTTGTTACTTTGCCACAATATAAGTTTGGGGGCTTTTGTGTGTTTGCTTTAAAATTTTGTTTGGTATTTTTGATAAATACTTGACATCAACTAGTAGTTTATGTTCTTTCCAGAAATAAATTTTTACAATTTTATAAAATAATTAGAAGTATTTTACTATAAAAATACATTTTTTAAAAAAAATTGGCTTTCTGCCCTTTAAAATTTCATTCATTGTTTTTGCAAGATGCAGTAAGTCTAACTGTTCCTCTGCATAATAGGTATTTACATACATCTGACAAGTTTTCTGCATTTTAAAAAAAATCATTTGCTATCAAACACAGAATTAACTGGAGAACTGACAGAATAATTATAATTACCTGAACCACTCCCATGCATGAATCTAGAAATATTGATCCTTTAGGTTCTTTTGATATTTTTTCATCTTTGTAGAAATTGAGATTATAGGATCCATCACCAAGTTGGATTAAGTGGAAAAATCTTCTTTTAAATGACTACGTAAAAGAAAGGAGGAAAAGGAAAGAATTACAGCCCAAGTATTGAACAGCTTCATATTATAAAACCTATAAGTGCTATTTACACAGTACGTTATAGACAAAAACTTGTATTTACACATAACCTGATCAGTACTCTCAGAAAAAGAAACAGAAATCTTTAATTAAAAAAAAATATATTACTTAAAAACCTGTACCAAGATTGTACTTTATTATTTGAATATATTTTTGACCTACTGAAAGGTTTTCCTAACATTCTATAGTATTATGCATAATACATAATTATTGTTAAAACAACTGAAGTTTGTTTCTAAATAAAAAGGCAATACAAATAAAAAGGCATATTATATAGCCCCTTTCCTAGTAATGACACACCAGGGTCCAGTCAAGAAAATTATTTAAAACACTGGACTTCTCTCACATAGTGGATTTTTAATGCATTTTCTCTGATTTAAGTAAGATAAAAGGAACGTAAGATTTTAGAGCTATAGCTTACACACAGGCTTCCCTCTTTCATCCCATACTATTTTTTTAGCAGTAAACCATGTACGAATTGACTTCTCAAAGGCTCAATGGTATTTAATATCAGCATTGAATTTTACCACGCGTAAGACATTCTTAAAACTTACTCTCATCGTCACACTGATTGCACTATTCATGTTGCCTTTGTACAGCCATCCTTGTTTAGTTATTCCACCCTTCTGAGACCCAAGAGATGCTGCATCCTGGAGATGAGGAGTGATGGGGGAAAAAAAATAAAAGAAATGTAAGGTTTGCATCATAGCCTGAAACTGTTGTATTTATCAAAAATTTCAGCAATAATTTTTAAAAGGTGGAATAGCTATGCTTATAATGTAATGTACTATGAGTCTCTGCGGAAATTCAAAAGCTTTCTAGTTCCATATATTTTACTTAAAGACTAAGGATGAGACTGACCCCATCTAACTTTTGATATGTAACCTGGCCACTTATACAGGCTTTCTCTATCAAGATGAATCCCACTGAAACAGGGAAAAGAGGGAAATTTCAAAACATTTACTTACATTTACTTTGTAAGCTTTTTTATATATTCTGATCTTCCAGGGCAAGAATTTTTACCCATTTCCATTACCGGAGAGAATAATGTGAACTCACACTTACCCAAAACTTGAATCGAGATTTCTCAAACCATTTTGGTTTTTGTATTATTTCAAAGAACATTACTTAAGAATTTACAGAGAACTGAATTAAATCTGCCTTTCACAGATCAGAATCAAAGCTTTCTAAAAGAGAACAAGACCAAACTTGGCAGTAAATGCAAGTTCACAATCAGCAGAGGTAACGCCTGCATCACACGTCAGACCTGCTGCCTGTTCACCATCTCCATCTGCCAGTTGACGGGACTTAAGAACTACAGCAAAACCCAGAGGACGTTAGCAACTACCAAAAAAGCAATTAATACTCTACTATCAAAACCAAATTGAAAATACAGATTTATGATTGCCACAGATGAAAAATGAAAACAGCAGTTCAGGCAATCTTTTAGAGCTGTACCAACCTGACTTCACCATGGTTTCCAGTTGAGGTAACCCATTTTGACACAACAAAAACATTAATGAATGAGATGTGCCGGAAGATTTTTCAACCATCTAGAGGAGAAATATTCCTGATAATTTATTACTCAAACAGTTATTCAAAAATTAGCTAAGTATCCAGTTGAAAACAAAACCATGAAACTTCCTCAAGTGCCTCAATTACTTTTTCTAAGTCCTTTTCTCAGCAATTAAGAGAATATACAATAAGAAGTGATTACATACGGGGGATTAATATAGTTAACTGATTTACAGCTTATTTAGTCTGTATAGTTTGCATATTCATATGCATATGCACATGTGAACTTCAGAAAAACTGCAAACAGAAGGCAAAAAGATAAATCAATCTGTTCCTCAAAAAGTTCTACTCAGCTTGACACTACAGAAGTCAGGACCAGTAAGGAAGACATGGTCACCAGCTACCAGAGCATCTGGTATAATGTCCCAGAAGCACAGCCCAGAAATACTCAGTAAATTTTCATATACCTCAATGAATCTCACTATTTCAGCAATACAGTCTACTTGTTTCACATTTTCAAGTCATTAGCCCTATTCTATTACTGAGATAACCATTTTTCCTGTACAACAATCAAGACAGAGAGACAAAAACTTAAACCACTGGGTTTCCAACTCTGATTCTCTAACTCCACCAGTGGGAGTCATCCCTAGGGAAAGGATGGTTTAAAACCATCTTTACAAGTCTAAGATGATAAGTAGGTGATGAGTTATTATCAAACCTTGACACAAAACAATCAATACTTTCCTGTGATTTCACAAAGCACACATAGGATTGCCTGGCGGGACATGAATTCCTTCATTAACTGTGTTAACAAAAATTAAGATTTAGCTCTATTAAGACTCTTTTTTTCCAATTCAAAGTCTCTGCAGTGTGCTGTTTCCCTACCGTGTTGAACTGCATGATGTCTCCTAACAACAAAACTGTCTGTTGTTTGAGCCTCTCTAGCTACACTGTTTCTTTCTGTCAGGCAGAATTCCTGCCTGCAGAGCCAAAAAGCTACTGAATCTTTCCAGCCCCACCACCTGTTAACACAACGGAATCCAGAACCCTGTCATTAACACGTGACTTTTACACTGAAACATACTTCCTGTTCCCAACTGGTAAGTTAATTTCCTCACTTTTATTGTTAATGCTGCATACTGCATTTCACTTTTTTTTTAATGATCTTTCCCACAATCTGGGCTCCAAAGTTTATTTCAACAGCAACTGTTTCAACAAAAGCAATTCCTTATCTTGATCCCATACCCCAGGCTGATTCAAAAATTCCATTTACAAACATCAACCCGATGACCTGACAGCCCAAATTAATTTTAGGAAGGTAATTCTCTGCATTTTAACAGGGCAAGATTAAACTTGATCTGGTTTTCCTCTAATTTTTAATCATTTGCAGCTTTTTGCTTTCTATCATTCTCTTAATGAAACAGCTTTCTTAAAAAACAAACCAAACCCCCCCAAAAAACCCCAAACAAATCATAAAAGAAACAATAAGACCATTTTAATCTGAAAAAATAAGAACTTTTAATCTGAGATTTGCATATATGCTTTTTTGGCATACAAGGAAGTTAATGTTTGAAAGAAAAAACCCAGGCATAATTGTTCTCTTGAGGAAAGAATTTATGGTGTTCCCCCCGCATTCCCATTAAGCTCCCTTTTCTTTCTAGCAAGCTTTTTTCTCGTGTTTTTATTTTAAGTTCCTGAGTTTAAGATTAACAGACCTCTTCCCCAGTGACTCTACCTCTGACAGAGACATGATGTTCCTGCCTGCTCTAACAGGAAACTGGGCAGAAGGAAACAGGGAAACCTCCCCATTTATACTTCCTAGTGAAAAACAGACCTACTTGATAACAGCCAAGCTACAGTTTTCCAGTGTTTAACTAACCCTAGGCACAGCTATTCTTCCTAATAACAATCACAGTCGATTATATTGCCATTTCATTTTTCTCGTCTTGGACTCACTTCTGTTGTCAGAAATATTACCACAGTAAACAATGCAAAGTGCTTTTAATTTCAGTATAACAGACAACATAATTACTCCCATCTTACAAATAGGAAGATTTGGAAACAGATGCATGAAATTATTTGTTTAAATATCACAGTGCAGATTAACAGTAATCCTGGACAAATAGCATCCTGAGACTATCTGTTCAGAAATCTATCTATTCAGAAATCTATCTATTCAGATGCACTTCTCGGAATATTTTTTCCCATTTAATCCAGGAAAACTTGTAAGTAACTACTTTTAGTTCATATGCAGCAGTTCTGAATCCAAGGAATTTAAAAGCAAAGTAATAGTCAAACATTGAAAAGAAAGCATTGGCATTTAAACACTGTGTTCTGAAACAGAGTGAGGTAAAATGAAATAAATCACACAAATAACAGAAGCAGTTACTGAAAAAAGTCTTTGGCGTTTGAAACATACTTAAAAAACGCTCGAGGCTATAGATGTCTCTGGTTTCCCTAAGCCAATAATAAAAAAGAAAATACCTTGAGAATTTTAGTCAACTTTTTTAGCTTTTGTTTCTGTGGCGGATCTCCAAATATCCCACACTCAATTTCGTGACAAAGTAATCTTAACTCACACTGTATACTATATTGTCATGTTTAAGTGTGTGTACTGTCACACTGGAACAGATTCACTTAGGATTCTACTCAACTTTGTGATTTAACTGCATGAAATATTTCTCTCTATATGCCTGTCTATACAGAAACAGTGTAAGACAAGACAGATTTTATGAAAGCTGAGGGATTATACATCACCAAGTATTAAAACTTCAGTTTCACTATCTGTCAAAACTTGTTCTGCTCCCACTACAGATCTCAGGAGTACAAGGCCATTTGAAAGGAAATAGGTAAAATAACTAATTTTTTTTTTTTCCCTGTCAGGCTGTTCAAGATAATCTCTGTTTTCATTTACCTACATCAACACATAACCCAACTGGTAACCTCTCCTTATCAAACATTCTTTATCAAAAGCAACAGAAATAAGGAATTACTATTATCTCACCTCATCTTTATCTGCTTCTTCATCCACTTCATATAAATGAACTGGAAGCTTCTCCGATTTTGTCCCTTTGCTATGAAAGAAAAAGCTTCTAAAATACTAGGAATTTTGAGATTAGTTACAGATTTTATAGCTGCAAAATTAAAGATGTTATTTTCCTAACTGAAGCATAAGAGTAACTGAGCAAAAGCATGTATTTTCATGAAATTTATTTCCTATCCAGAAATTTTCCCAACTTGCAGATCTGGCCACAGTCTTTATTTTGTTCTGCTTGTCACCGTCCTCAAGTGTACCTGGAGAGAACCAAGTGCCTTCTCATAGTTTCTACTCCCTAATCTACTAGAGAGTTCCAAAAGTTCCCTTTGAAGCTACAAAAACAGGGTATCACCATTTTAGTTTCATCTAAACACAAGCCTGTTTTAGTTACAATACTTACATTCCCATTGTCAATGATACAATTTCTTGTTTAGACTTGTCTATTAATAAGGCAGAGTTATTAAAGTAACTTTGCAGAAAATGGCTTAACAAGATTTTACACCTTCAAGTTCATCAGCATAAAAGTCAACCGAGAGATCCTTATCACACCTAGTGACTATTAAACACTGATATATTATATTTCAAATTACATACAAAGGTATTTATTACAGAAAGGTACCAATACATGTAATACTAATAATGAGTTAGAATTTCTCACAAATTCAAAAATACTTTACTATACCAGTAGATAATATACTTACTTTGGAAGCTGTCGAAACTCTCCTGAGTAATCTTCATATCTATAGTTAACAACATGCCAGTCTGAATTGTAGGTTTTGATACACTGTTTTAATGAAAACCAAATATCAATATTAATTGGAAGAGGATTAGCAGCATTCCCTAGACACATACACAAAACGAAATCTCTTAAACTAGGGCTGTTTGTGAACTACTATGGTTACATGTTGATCTCTGAATATTCTGTATACTTCCACTCTTTTGCAATACAGTCTAGTGTACTATAGCTTTTTGCCACAAGTGATATGTTTCAATAAGATGATATCATCTGCTAGACATGTATCTCATAAAATCAGAAAAAGGGGAATACACTCAGCATCTGGATTAACTATCTTCAGCTGTCTGAAAAGTTAAAGCAGCATTTCACTGCAGCTGAAAACACGACTGAGCCTTTAAAAAACTCAGTATGAAGATATTAAAATAGAATGTTCAATCTAGTACATACAGATACAGAAACACTAAAACCATATTTTCCTTAAACTTATACTTTTGGAGCAATTAAATTAATATTTTTATTTAAACTACATGCTCCCAGCTGTTGAAAAGCAATTACGTCATTACTGTCTGGACTAGATCATGGGAAAATCCACTTTACTCCACCCATACTGCTACACCACTGAAGTACTGATTTATCCTGGCTTTGACTGTATTAACATTAAACTGACAAAATATATTGCCAGAAACTGCACAGTACAAAATTTTCTATGGTACGTGAATAGACTTAGATGCCCACAATCACAGCATCTAATAATTCAAAAGTATTTTCTTTACATTTCAAAATACAAAGTTAATACTTGCCAAGCAATTACTTCTAAAGAAATTCAATAAACTCCATAAATTACCTACAACATTCTTCTCTCCTTGTCTACCTTCTTCAACTTAGAGCTGCTTAAGTTTGATGTCAAGGAGAAAACAGTTTGCAGCTTGAGATAAATTCAACTATTTGAAGTTATTTCAGTTTTCTTGGAATTAAAAGACATTTACTTGTTTCAGAGGTTAAAATGTCACCTTAAAGTATATCAGTAGGAAACCAGTAGATAATATGAAAAGGACAAAAATTTTAAACCTTTCATTTCTAAAAGGTTTCAACAAGGCACTAAAAGAAACATCACAGTTAGAAAAAAGGGAATACCAAACAACCAGTTATAAGAAACTTTAGAGCTGAGGATGTTTCTTCTGCATATAGCACAGAAACTGAGCAATTGTTATGAATTTTGGCCTCTACAGGTGTTACAGTAACAAACCCCTCTGTTCTAGCAAACTCTACAAGACTATTATGAACAAACACAGAAAGAGTAGTGTGAAGCACTTTATCAGGAAAAGCAAGTCACAATGATTCACTCTGGATTTATTATTGCTTTCAGTGTTATGTACGGAAATCACCCACGTTCATCTGGGAAAGCCAAAAGCAAACGGAAGGTAGGGGAGGAGCATCTGCATAAGCAAATTACACAAAATAATTCACAACTATCCTGTATGCTTTCTCTTTCAGCCACTAATGGAGGAAATATTAGCTTTTCCTGGAAATTTTCCCTTGAAATCATTGACAATAAATAGCAATAAATAGTTAATGTTGTTTTTCAGGGTTTTTTTCCCATTCTTTAAATGGTAAAACAAGCAGAAGAAAAACAATTTAGGTAAAATATTGTTATTACACACAGTTATATGCCATTCCAATATTACCTCAGTTACAAACAAGCTTTGAGCTTCCTTCTCTGCATTTTCAGGGACTGTTGAACGAATATATCGACTCTGCCGCTTCAGTAATGTTGTCTGATAAACAACAAAAACAAATAATGAAATTTGCAATTAAAGGAAAGATGACTCATTATCACAACGTTCAGTTATATGACTATTACTAAGAGAGAAGCTTCGCAGAAAACATCCTATGAATACACTATGTTTCAGAATAGCTAATTAATGAGAACTTGATTCAAAGAATGCTTCTTCTTTCACAGCAACAGCAAGACTGGAATCAGTAAGAAATAAATGCCATAGCAAAGCGTTTTCTTCTATTTTGTTAACGTGGGCAAGAATATGCAAGTAAAAATAATTCCACCATGACAACATAAATTCAATGTTTTCAAGACAGTCATTAAGGTAATATTATTACTACATAGAAAAACTATTACTCAAGAAAAGTAACAAACTTGCAACAAAATAAGAAGGGTCAATTGCAGATCTCAGCTGGCAAAAAATGAGACTTGTACTGTTAACGTGAAGATGTAGAAGTAAGGCCTGGTATACACTTCAGCCTATCAAATCAGAACTCATCTCTATCCTATGCTGCAGTTCAGAGAGGCAGAGAGAGAAGCTGCCCGAGAGCATGAAATCTCCCCGTGGCCACAAAATTCTGCTCCTCAGTTCAGCACTGAAGTAAGCCCTGGGGTACTTATAATGTAAAAGATGAGAACGTTACAAAAGCTTCCAGACTGCAAATGGAAACAACTACACAGCAAAAGAAATTATTTTTCCCTATATGGAAAGGAATCCCACAGCTTAGGTCATGAGACACAGATAAAAGAATTTGCATAGTCTAGACGTGGAAAGGGATTACAATCTCTGACCTGTTACCTATAGTCCACACCTGCAGCAGGAAAGGTCAGATAAAAATGTGAGTTGAAAAAACTCTACATACGTCAAAATGAAAGGATACACAAGTACATGAGCTTATCTCTGTTGAGAGTTTGATCCATAAGGTGATTACTTCTGCCATTACCAAAAGCTCACCCCATTATCTGGGGAGGGTGTGTGAAGCTACCATATTAAAGAACAGTAAAGATTTAAAGAAAAAAAAAAAATCCCATAGTCACAGTCAAGTCATTCATCTAGTCCAGAACACTGCTGAAAAGTGTCAATGCTAACTGCTTGGGTGACGGGGAGGTATTAAAAGCTAAAAACACAAACCCCAAAATATTTCATGGGACCAATAAGTCCTGCAATACATAGTTTTTTCAAAAAAACCAAACAACCTGCAAGAAGATGCTCATTCATGTGCTAACAGCATATAAGATTTAAGTTCTCTGAATTCTCAAAACATAGTCCTTATTTCAAATCATACTGAGCTTGAAGTATTTCTTTTTATAAGCTCTGGGAAGATAGATTATTAAGAATACTAAGCTACACTGTAAGAGCTAAAGGCCAGAAAGTCTAGATTTTCTTCTCAGCCTGAAATAGTCAGATAGGAAATTCTTTATAGTTTATACAATACGTAAATATGTAATATAATATATTTTCTATAAGCATATACAGGTAGGCTATGCTTTTTTAAAAAATATATATTATTTTTTTAAAGAAAACAGAGAGAAAGGTGTCATATTTCCAGGCACTTCTCATGGGAAAGCCATAAACTCATGAATCAAGTCCTATCGCTAGAGTGGAATAAAGAAGATTTAACTACTGGTGCATACTTTCAGAAGATCTGCTGCTGTTCTCCTGCTACACAACACAATAGTTAGGAAGGACAAACTTTCTTCACAACTACATGGATTGCGCTGTTTCACAGAAGAGACATGTTTCAACTTTCTGGGTCTGAGTTACCATTCGATTTATGGCAGCATCAGGAACAACAGAGTGTTTGTCTCATACTCTCAGAGAAGATGTAAAAAAAACCGCGTCAATTGCTCTGCTGTTGAGCTAAGGAAGACTGCTTTTAACACCAGCCACTACTGAGGCACACAATTAACAGACTCCTTTTATTGATACCAACTTCCAAGTGAGCCCCAGGGATTTAGCGTAGTAGCACGATCTACCGAGGTTTCACAGAAGGCAACAGCAGAACGGACAGTTCATCAATTCTCACGGCCAAGGAATACTGGCTACTCAAAAATCTGACCAAATACGGATAGAGAATCTGTCTACAACTGGTGCAGCCTGCCATGGATAGAGTTTAAGATTTTCAAACTCTTTCTGTCACAGGATTGTGCTTGTTAGTGAGACTTACTGTTACTTAGGATTCGGGAGTGTATAACCAATTTGAAGTTAGATTTCTCATTTCACTTATCTCGAGCCAGAAGGTGTTTTCATGTTCTTGACAGTTTTAGCAAATGACTCTTTCTGAGGTTAAAAAAATAAATATATTTTACTGATGTCAAAATCTGGCAAGCAATTTTCTGAGTTGGCCTAGTTCTCCTTCATCATGCTTTAGGGCAAAATAATATCAAGATGATGAGGATTCTTGAAGTGGACAAACATACTTGCAGGTAGCACTAAAGAACTGCCAAAAGACAGCCAAGTATTTTGTAGTCACAGCATGGTGTGTACATACGTATGTAAAATAAATGCACAAATATGTAGTTATGGCGGCCCTTTTCCAGGTCTTGGTTTATACAAAAGTCAATGTTGCAAAGTGTGAATCAACAAAATCAGTTTTTAGCTCTATCAAGATGAAAAAGAAGCACCTGTAAATTTTTCATGCAAAAATTTTTAATTTAAAAATAAAATATCCCAAACCAAATCACATACAAAGAAATAGCTCTCAGTAGTTCTCAATAATTCTTAATAGTTCATTTGGGGAAATAAGATGTCAACTACATTTCTATAGTAAAAAGTAATCACAGATCTTAAATTTCCAACATTTTTTCTAGTGTATGAAGGTATCTTTAGTCAGTAATTCTACACCGAACAACAGTTCCAGACATAGATATTTTGGAGGAAAGGACTACAATAGATGTAGGTGTGAGGCAGAAGCCAGACAACACACATTCCTCAAAACCATTTGACCTGTCTTCAGACATGTCCCTTTTGGTTCGTTTTTCCTTAGCTTTTGCTTCTCTCCCTCCCGTGTTTTTAACATGGGTGGTTTATATTTTTCTCTCCACTTTGGAAGTGTTCAAGCCATTTCTGTCATCTGACAAGGTTCTCTACCTGCTCTGTAAATTTGACAATGTCCACCTGGCAACAGTGCTCTTATTCTACACAAGTTTCAGCAGCCCGGTGAAGCGAGAAAGTACAAAATATTCCTGTTGACACCATATATTCACTACCAAACCCCGTTCTTAAAAATTATTTCTTCCTCTTCACATGCTCTTTCTAGTGTTGGCTGCTGAATGTGAGCTAGTAAAATTTTCCCCAAAAGCCACTTCGCCCTCCACATTCCTTTAGGATGCTTGAAATTATGCAAAAATTGAAAAAAATTGAAATTATGAAAACACTGGGAAAGAAATTTTTAAAAAGCCACAAGAGTGTACAAGTCGGATTTTTTTAATGTGTGTGTATATAAAAATATAACATCAATGGGCTTTATTAACCAAGTCCTATGTTTTCCTGGTAAAATAGAGACTGTGGAAAAATCAGCAAAAATTGAAATAATAGTACAGGGTAACAATCAACAGACACATACCCAGGCTATCCTTACTTTAGATGATGTTACACAGAGACAAGTGCTCAAGAAGCAGTGACAGATATTGTTTTAAAAGACTCGATGTGAAAGATGGCACGCTGTATATTAGATCATTGCTTTAAAGTTACTACATGCCAGAAGAGACTTATCAGTCGTATGGGAAGTCAGAAGCTGTATTGTAAGGTAATTTCCAAACAAAGTTGAAGTCTTGATTTGGAACAGTTGGCTAAAGACTCAAGGAAAAGCACAAAATAGATACCAAAGGTAAAAAAGTCAGAGTGAAACTTCTTTAAACATTTCACAATGTTATTGCATTTTGACCAGTTTACTTTGTGCTCTCTAAAATGAGAACATTACTTGAAAAATTTTTTTGTTTGTTCCTTCTTCTCAAGAGGTACTTTCCTGTACAACGACCTGGTTTTACTTTTATTTGTGTAAAGTTGTCATAATATCTCTTTTCAGAGGTACCAAAATGGTGGTAACTTCAAAGCTCCAAGTGAAAGTGTGCTAAATCCATGTGGCTCAAAATCAAACGTAACAAAGGGTGAAACAATGTGTAAGCTAAGCAGCAAAACACCTTCAACATAGCAATTGGATAACTTTAATTTGGGTAGGACAGTACCCAGATTTTATTTTCTACAAGTAAACTTATGCTGTATTGGCATAAACACTTCCTATAAGGATGGAGGTCTTTATTTTAAAACAAAAGCATTTAGATACAAGATGTCTCTTTGCAAAGTAATCAATAGTATAGTTTTGGGCTGAAGTTTCTTTTACTAATTTACAGTCTATGCAGTTAATTTAAACATCACCAATTTTGCAATCATTGAGCATATGATTTAATGCAATCCATGAAGGTGATGTTTTTTAAACTCATGGGACCTACTTATGAAGCCATTTCTTTACTGAGTAAATTACTGACATTCAGGTAACCTGGAATAATTACAAAAAGCCATGAAGAGGCACAATACTGAACACAAGAGCACCTGATGGTAATAGTCCTTCAAGGTTATGATAGAGAAGAGATATAGCCTTGAACGACTGACAACGTTATAATTAAGAGTAGCAAGAATATTAACAGGGGATGTTCCAATGGGTGGTAGGAAATGGTTCTATCATCTTAAACACATTATATGGGAGCCATAATGAAAATATGACAACAAAAAAGCAATTAGAAATGAACAGACTACAAAGCACAAGGGCACTGAAATTTTAGACAGTCTAATTAGTAAGAAAGTAAGCAAACTCAGTGATGTTAACAGTAAAAAGGATCTCCAAAAGCGACTGCACCTACAAATTTGATGAGAATTTGCAGAGAACTCAGAATTTGAGCTTGTGAAAGGCAACTGAAACAATCTTGAAGTGGTAAACTGAAAAATGACCCAATATGCGGGAGAAAGTTACTGAAGAGCTCTTCTGCAAACTACAGAAAAGCAAAGCTTGTTATTATTTTGATATAACAGCATTAAGGAAAATGTAGAAACTCGAAAGAAAAAAAAATATAAGTCTACTTATTTGAAGATCAGCATGAAGCAGGACAAAAGTCATGCTTTTCTGAAAAGTAAATGAGCTGCTACCAAATACACACAAAACAAGAGAAAACAGGATTCATAACCTCACCTAACCAAGTTTAGGATGAAGGCAAATGCAGTTAAGTGGAAATCTGGAAAGGTTCCTGTAACTAGATCAGCTGGCTGAAGAACAATCCTTCAATCTTTATGAGTTTTCCCAGAGCAGAGCATTTTCTGCTCCATCCTTGCCCAAATACTTCCTTGGTAGTGATTTGAGCTTAGAACTAAGGCTGACAGCATGTTTGGAGAACAGTCACAGCTGAACAGAAAAAGGTGACTTGTTTTCCACCTTTCTCTCACTAGGCAAATAACTTTCACAGGAGAAAAAAAGGAAGAAAAACAAGCTATATGGTGTTCAAATAAGTCAGTTACTGTGTAAGCTTTCTTTCCTGATATCGACCAACAATTCACATCGGTTTCCCTTTCTTTAATGTTTAGCTTCTCTGAGGTGGCAAAAGTTACCAGCTGAACATGGCACTGACCATGACTACAGAACAAGACATTAAAACATTTGTTAGAAAAATCTTGCTTCTAAATTCCTGCAAGTACCATTACTAATTATATGAAAAACACATCTATTGAATTAAATTTCAGTTATCTAACTTCATTACCTGAAAAAAAATATAAACCCAAGGAAAAAAAAAGTTATCCTAATTAACCACAAACATTCATCTGCAATTTCTCCCAAAGTAATTTCAACTTTTGCACAAATTCAGTAGTGGTATCAATCTGCCTCAAAACTGTAGCTTCTTCTGTAATCTACTGAAAATTTTAGGAGTGATCTCTAGTGCTGAAAAATATTTTCGGTGCCAATTTAAATGCTAGTTTTAAGGCCATGCTGGTAACAAAACAGCCTTACTCTTAACGTCTTTGTAAATAAACAGGGCTTGGCTTCCTTTTTAGGCAAGTGTTTTTTAGATTGTAATCAGTTTAACCTAAGCATGAGGAAAAACTTTGTGAAAATACAACCTGAACTCTCTAAGAGGAAATAGCTTGAACAGGTTTTTAGACAATGGTAGGAGTTTCCACCTAGATGACTGTTCTAAGTGTATATACAGGTAGTTCAAAATACTCTAGCTCGCTATTTTAAGTCCCACCTGGTGTGGGACAAGGGCAGTACCAAATCTCTAGACCAAGGCTTACCAAGAGCTTCCTGCACATTGTGTGATCACAACAAATTAGGATAAAGAATTAAACAAATATATGTGAAGCAGAACAGCAAATAGAAAATAGCCCATTATTCAAATGATTCAATTGATACTGGCATTATCAATATATCAATTGATATTGGCCATAACAAGGCTAATGGTTTTAAAACTGTAAATACAATTATGGAAAACTGCACAGGGTTAAAAGGTTTAACATGCAAAAAAAAAAAATCCTAAGCACATAAGAGATTTCTGTTCTCTGACTTGGTAATATTTTCTTAATACACTGAATGGTAGTAAGCTTGTGAAAGAAAATCATAGAAAGAAAAGTTTCACAGCATAATAATAAAATTTGTAGTACAAATCAGTCTTGATATAAACCAAATATAAAATGAGGCTCTGACAAGGACTATGTAGGGGAAATCCAGAATCTATATTCAGATATTACGGCCGGTTAGCTCAGTGGTTTGAGTGCAGTGCTGACAACAATGACCGAGGTCGCGGGTTTGATTCCCGCTCGGTCCCCATGTGTTGCCTGGTCTAGTCAAGAGGTGGCGTCCCTGCCCACAACAGGGAGGTTGGACTAGATGATCTCTAAGGTCCCTTCCAGCCTAGGCCATTCTATGATGATGATGATGATGATTACACCAGCGAGGTATAAAGAAACAGGAAATCTGTCTTATACTGCAAAATTGTGACTACCTGAAGGAAAACTTCTGATGTAACATACTGTAATGACTGCCTCAGTGAAAATCTGACCATGGACTCCAAACAATGGATGACAAAAGGTATTACAGTTTGTGAACAAAATTCAGCAACTGAAGGATCAGATTGAGAACTATGGACTAGCTGTAGTTGCGAACTGCAGGTTAAGAATTGCAGAAGGAGCCACTTGAAACGGCAGAGAAACACTACACAAGTCTCACAGACTGCTCAAACAAAATATGCAAGGGTATTCTTGATAGGTTTGTTTCTTCTCCATTGTTAATTCGGAGCTGTACACCAGAATGACCCCTAGGAGGTGAACTAGTCAATTAGGTTAGAATACACTTAGCAGAAGTTTCCTTGATTCCTCTTGATCTGAGATCATTAAGAACGACATTGCAGCTGGGGATCTGGATGGTATAACCTACTTGCACTCTTCAGTCCCCAAACCCTGGTTTAGGGTATCATCACGAGCAATCTAGCATTTGAACACTCGTGGCACTGGATAAAGTTCACAAGCAGTACAACCTCCTTTGCTAAGAAGCCTTACCCGCGGTCCTTCAAACCTTCACACGTGACTGAGAACACGTGAAGCCCAAACTACTCCCAAAATACCTGTACCTTGCTAAAATGATTTTTTTATAGCTCAAAAGTGAGAAGGCCACAGAGTTATCTGTGTAAGAACAAGTGAAAATAAAGCACATAGACTATATGAAAAACACAGTCCAGGTGCACTCTGGTAAATACTTTAATAGGCCAGGGAGAATTCATGGAAAAACTCAATGCATGTAATTTATGGGACTTTATATGGCCTTCTGCAGAAATACACCAGCTCATCATCAACTTTGGCCAGGATAAACAGAGACTTAGCTTCAACTACTTGGCTGAATAAAGTTTTTGGCTTTTCAGGTACTTTTTTACAGAATTCTAAGGTATTCAACTATGATATACCCCTAGAAGTAGCTAATTTACAGACAATTCAGATGTCTGCATACTTTTCAAATATAGGTAGACATTTTGACTGCAGTTAAGGGCATGTGTAAGAGAGACTTTCCTCATTATTTACACCAGTTCCTCTCTTTAAGATGTTTGGTGGTTATCCTAACTGGATTTACAACAATACTCAGAAAGGTGTACTTAAATAAACTATTTATTTGAACGTGGTTATTTTATAGAAATATATCAAGACGATCACAAATCTTGGTTAAGTCTGGCTTAATCAAGTCAGAGACCTGTTATGCAGTGGATATTTTGCTCAAATCCAATTCTGGCTGGTAACATGCAGCTCTGAGTAACAGCTTTCATTCAAACAGGTTCATGCCCTTCCCTGCTAAGATGAGGGTGGGGGGAGAAGTCATAAATCTAAGAATTAAAGCGTGACAAAAAGCAGATGATTTTTTTGAACGAACATCACGTGATTTCCTACATCTGAAAGGGAAGTACTTAAAAATGACTGATCACCTAATTCAAAAGGCAGTAAAATGGCTGATTTGCAGAAGTATACCTCGTAATCTTAACGGATGAAGAAATTGTGCTATTTCTTGTTCTGTAAGCTGACAGAATAAATTGAGCAGTATAAAAAGATTCATGGCAAAGAGTTTTTTAATTTTTTTGGTAAAGAAAATTAAAAACCAAAGAAATAAGAAGTCATAACTACTACTGCTAAAGATAGGTCTTAAAAAACAAAAGGAGCAGGAGGAGAGGGCAGAATTAAATTACCTGGAAGTCATCATAAGGGAACAGTAGCATCTCACGTAAAGCATCATTCAAAATCTGTGTTTTCCTCTGAACGATGACATTTTCATAGTCTATTGGTTCTATAAGCTTTGGTTTTGCCTGGGGAAAAGTAAAAAAAAAAGGAAAATAAATTCAAGTATGTTGAGGAAAAATTACAACTGTTGACTCACTTTAAAAAAATCACTCTTTAAAGGTAGAAAAAGATTTCATACATCAAAAACTTAGAGCATTCAAAACACTGACTTTATGTCACACTATACTGTGTGGATAAGTGCAACTGATAAGTACAGAGACAAGCAGGCTATTTACTTCAGAAGGAAGAAACAGAACTATTTCACAAAATACACTAAGCCAGAGCTTATCAGAATAATCACGTATGTATTTTCACTGCAAAAAAAAAAAAGAAATTAATACTCTCTTATGTTGGTGGTGACCTTTGCATGATACTTCCCAGAAAGCTCTGATATGGGTTTATCAGGAATTAAAACAAACTTAATTTAATCTCAGATTGAGCTTTCTTTCAGTTAGGTAGTAACCTGCAGTAGGTGTCAGCTAACAGACATTCCTCCTCCATTCCACCCCAGTTGGGTGGGGGTTTTTCTCAAAATTCTTACAGGCCATTTGCTTCCTCTTAACTGCATGAGTAGCATTCTTCAGTTACAATGCACTGAGTCACCATTT